GCCGCGGGGGGCCGTGGGGGCCGCGGGGGGCCGCGGGGGGCCAGGGCGCCGTGGGGCGCCGTGGGGGGCCAGGGCGCGCTCCCCGCCCTGCAGCCGGTCAGGGGGAGGCCCCGCGCGGTGCGGGCCTGGGGTTGGGCCCCGCGGCGCCGCCCCCCGCTGTACGGGCCCGCTTGGGGCCCGTTTCCCATCCTTTCCCTTTCTCCCTCCTCCCCTCCCCGTCAGGGAGCTCCAAGATGCCGCTCATCTTCCAGCCTTCCTCCTGTGCCCGTCTCGGTCGATAACTGCCTCCCCCGTAACGCTTCATCGGTGCGCGGCGGGTTTAGGGGCGAAACAAAGCAGCAATCTGCTCTCCAGCCCCGGTTGTTGTTTATCCCGGGGGAGCGGCCCGTCACCGGCCCTCTGCTCTACCCGCAGGTGTAGGGCGGCCGCTCCGCAGACATGTCCATCGGGGTGCCCATCAAAGTGCTGCACGAGGCCGAGGGCCACATCGTGACGTGCGAGACCAACACCGGGGAGGTTTATCGGGGCAAGCTCATCGAGGCCGAGGACAACATGAACTGCCAGGTGCGTCCCTCACCTCGGGGAGCTCCCGCCTCGGCCGCAGGGGCCCGGAGCCCCGCGCGCTTGGCTTAGGGGGCAGGAATAACCTCTTGTCACGCTCTCTTGTTGTGGTTTAGTGGGCTCAGGATGGCCCAAAGGGGACAGGGCAGCTGCTTTCTGTGTCCCGGGCAGGACCAGGCATCATCAGTGCCCGGTCCCCTCCGTGGTGTCAAGGTCTCTAACATTTTCTTTTATGAACAGTGTTTCTGCAGGAGTTGTTCACCTTATTGCACTTTTTTTTTTTATCGTTTACAAGGCCTCATTTGAGCAACTGAAGCTTATGCTTGCTTGTTTGCTTTAAATACACCTGACTTCAGGCGTCTTAAGAGGTCTTAATTTTGTTTGTTTGCTTTTTCCTTCTTTTTGATAAAAATCATTGTTCAAGTCAAAATTCTTTCTTAATAGCTAAAACAAAGTTCTACTGTAAGTGACTTAATATGGGAAACAGAGCTGAGTTTTTTCTCTCAGAGTTTGTTTTAGCTCTGATTAGGCATAGAATAAATGTGCTGCTCCTGCTTGACTGGCTCCTGGCTTGTGTGTGAGTGGTCCTGGCTGCCCTGTGCCACAGCTGCAGTCCAGGGGGCTTTGCTTGTAAGGATTTTGGCCTTGCAATAAATCCTCTGTGTTTTATCTGCTCTTGTTGCTGTGCCTTGCTTGTAGGTATGGCTTTAAATCAGTCGCATGTCATTAGGTGCAAGTTACTCTGATTACGTAGCAAGGCAACGTTATGAATGTAAGTGAGATTAAAAAATGCATGTAAGGTGTGACACTGGAATAATGCTCAATATGCTTTTTTGTTGTTACTTTTTGAGCCTACCTAATTCATATTCTGCTGATGCAAACCTGCCATCTGAAACTTTGGGAAGAGACCTAGAAAGGCTTTCTGTAGAAATGGCTGTGCACTTGACCTAGGTAGCTCTCACACAGAGTAATCAGTAGGTGAGAGAAACCTCACCTGTTGGAGGCTTCCATGGACACTGACTGGTCTCTTGCTTCCCAGATGTCCAACATAACCGTGACGTACAGGGATGGCCGCGTGGCCCAGCTGGAGCAGGTGTACATCAGAGGCAGCAAGATACGGTTCCTCATTTTACCAGACATGCTGAAGAACGCTCCTATGCTGAAGAGTATGAAGAATAAGAACCAGGGCTCTGGGGCTGGGCGAGGAAAAGCAGCTATTCTCAAAGCTCAAGGTGGGTGTTGCTGCTTTATGGACCCCGTGCCCCCCTGACCTCTCTGCAGCTTTAGCGTTTTGGTGTGGAGGAGCACGAAAGCTCCTCTGCATCACTAAGGATCCAAATAACTTGCAGTGCAGAATAGTTAGTGGTTTCTCTACTCCCCTGTATATTTTGTCCTCAAAGGGAATAGAGACACAGGCTTGGCAATTATCAGAGTGAGCAGTATTGATGGGAAGATAATTTACATGTTAAGTTGTCCTGTTAAAGTTATATTGAGGCTTTACATAAGCCTTTATTTGCGTATTCTCATGTGAATGTGGATGTTAGCAGTTTGGACCACATGGATAAGGAGCTAAGTGGTTTTTGTTTAAGGTTTTATAGAAAAAATATTCTCTTAATGCGAATCTCTAAAAAATTTGACAGTTGTAATTACCTGTTCTGCAGTTGTCCCTCGTTAGCACTTCTCTTAGTTGAGCAGTGTAGTTACAACAAGTTTGAGTAGGAGAATTTTATAGCCCCCAAAAATATCTATTAACTTTAGCGGGGTAGGGAGTGAGTGGGACCTGCTGGGACCTGCTGAGTTCTGCTGCAAAACCCTCTAACTCTACTCTGACACAAATCTCCTGTGGTCCCAAACTGTGTGCCAGATGAGAATATCTATAAGGTGTATTAACATTTCTCCATCTCTATACACTGCGTTGTTTCAAGTGGCAAAACTGTGTAGCTCTTGGGCCTGGTTCATCTCACAGAACAGACCTATCTCTCTTTAATATTATATCAGCTTCTGAACTTTGCACAGTAGTTGTATTTCCTTGCTGCCAAGCAAGAGACTTGGACATTTATGTTTTTCTCAGTTGCTATGGGGGGGAAAAAATGCAGTTATACCCAATTCACCTGATCCCTGATGTTTTCTTCCCTCAGTGGCTGCGAGAGGAAGAGGCCGTGGGATGGGCCGTGGCAACATTTTCCAGAAGCGAAGATAATTTTGGTCTTGACCGACAGGCTTATATATTTTTTTTTTTTTATTAGGGAGTGTTAACTTGACTACATGTGCATCAGTATAATTTTTTTTTAATAAATATTTCTGACAAGAAGTGTATGCTCTTACATGGCAAATCCTCTTGGACACATCCAAATTCTGGCTGCTTTTTGTAGCTGAGAATTACACTGTAGGTCGTTGCAAGACTTAAAGCTGCTTTGTCTGGAAAATAGAGGACTTGGTACTTAGGTTTGACTTCACTGTATCTTTTTGTATGATGGGTTGAGTTTTAAAAAATCATATCCTTTTTCTTGCTAAATCCTATTAAGGCTCACCCTTTGAAGAAAAATGAGACCTTTTTGAGCTAAGCAGAGGCAGCTGTCTGAGAAGCAAAGCACTATTTTCTTTTGCTTTGTATGTTGAGCAGTACACTGACATTTTGCCTGTATTTCTTTTTTTTTTTTTTTCCTCACTCTTTGGGAAATGTTTTTCACTAATGTGTGCATAACTTAAATATTTGATATACAGGCCTAGCCTGAGGCTTCAAATTCTAATCCTTTTGGTAATTCGTGTGTTTTCCCCCTGACTCTACATGGAGAGATAACTTCATTGACAGAATATAAAATACAGGGGGGGTTTGTCCTTCCTTTTTTGTAGGAGAAATTTGAAATGTTTTGGGAATTCTAAACCTAGTGAGGGTAACCATTAAATATGATTCTGTATGAAAACCAATCTTTTGTATGAGACCCAGGACTAATCCTAGCTTCAGTCTTAACACTCATGCATCATCATAAAGATCATGAGGTCACCTGCAGGAAACCAAATTTCATTAAAGCTTTAGGTTATTTTGCTGGAAATATGTGGTGGTTCTCATTGCTTACTTAAATGACTGAAAAGTTTAAATCAACACTCGTGTACCTAATTTCCTACTTAAATGATGAATTATCAGTCTGTGCATGTGTTGGCTGTCTGTTCTTACCCTCCTGCTCTGGTACTGTGAAGACTTTCCCGTTTGTGCAGACATTGAAGTTCGGTTAATGCATCAACTTGCTGCATTGTCCGTGAATAAAGCATTGAGCTCTGATTGTTAGAAAAAATCTAAATTTTCTTCTTCTGTGTAGTTATCTCAACTATTTCTGTTAGAAACCTGATGTGTTTAAATAGTGTTTGGGCTTAATAGTTGATATATAATTTAAGTTAATGTTTTCTTATGCTTAATTTGAGGCTTTAGATAAGGCTTTTCTTCAAGGTGTAGCTATAACCACATCAGTTTGTCCAAAATCAGTTCACAGAGACAATTTTCACAATATCTTCACTGTATGGCAGGTAAGTCGCACTTGTATAACAGTAATGCCTGCGCGAGGGCAGCATTTCCATTTTAAAGTAAGCCCTTAACAGAACTCAGTAATGGTGTTTAATCTCCTTGTGGAAGCCTGGAATCTGGAATAGCTCCGAAGGGCAGTCTGGCTGCTGGCCGCTGATCTGACCAGCTGGTCGGCCAATTCCCAGGGTCTCTGGAAGTGGTCGGGAGGTGACGTTGGCCATGAAGAAAGACTAAGCGAGCTGGGCCTGTTGAGCTTGGAGGAGAGAGTTTTTCTTTTGCTCCCCAAAGCATCAATCTGGTGATTTTTAACATACAGCGAGTGGCAAAGGAGGTTACTCTTACCTTGTTCAGCAGCAGGAGAGACGAGAGGTGCAGTTGTAGATGAAGCAAAGAGGAACCACGTTGCCAGATGCCGTTTGAGTCTGACCTCCCTGTGATCTGCACAGAAAACACTGAATTTTGCTGCATTTTTTTTCTTTTGCAGGAACTAACTGGTAATTCCAGACTTCAAAGCTTTGCTTCCTTTTCTTTAAAGTCTTCAAAAGAATTATTAATATCTGGGAAAGGAAGGAAGCCACAGATGAGAATTTGACTTTTTTTCTCTCTTTTTTTCTTTTTTTTTTTTTTTTTTTAGGTAAAAATTTCAATATTTTGCCAAGGTCTTTTTGCAAAGTTATGTGCTAGTTTCTTTTGCAGAGGGGGACTGAAAGGGCGCCCATTTTGACTGCAGACAGTCAGTTAGTGGAACAGCTGGAACAGTGAAGGATTTGAAACACGGGATCCCTAAAAGCCAGCGTGATTAAATGAATTAAATGCCACGTTGGAGCTGCTCAGCGGCGACAGGCTCATTAAGGGTTGTTTTCACTAATTATGATGACTGCCTAAGGTGGTTTTATTATTTTTAAAGTTCCCATTTCCCCCTTCCTGTGCAATACGAAGCTTCTGTTCTCTCCTGTGAGACCCCCAAGCCCTCAATGTGACCTTGAGCAGAGCTGAGGGTAGAGGAACAAGAAGGGATTTAGAGAAGAGCAGAAACTTTCCCAAGCAGATCCCAGTGCTGGAACAAACTCTCCACTGGATCTGCTTTGAGAAGTTTCTAACCCTGCTGCTGTTTCTCACCCTCAATGTTTATGAGCAGGAATACAGGCTAGTAAATCTTTAAAGCATTTATTTTTTCCAAGCAGTATTGGAAGTCTTAAGTGGACTTAAATATCATCTCTAATCTGGATCGGCTTTAAGGAGGATACTGGATTTTGCATTAGCAAACACCTTTGCACCATGAATTCGGGTTGTGCCTGAGTTTAGGATGAAATTGCAGAAATAAAGACATTGGGTGTGTTAAGGTAGTATTAACAGGTTGGAAGCTTCACACAGTAGGAATTTCAGCACCAGCCGCAATAACCATATCATTTAGCTGCATTTTATTACTCAGTTACAGCTCTAGCTGGTATGCTAGTTTGTTATACAGGCTGCTTTGAAGCACTGATATGTGATTTACATCCCACGCTGACGTACAGTGCCACAAATCCACGTTATCTTCTCACAATTGGCATCCACTAGATGGCCTCATCGCTGAGCGAATAAAATACTTAAGAACAGAACCCTCTGGAAGGAAGAAAAAAGGAAGAAACGTGTCTTCTGGTATAAAATCTACAAGCACAAAGCTATTGTAAACTCAAGCTTGCAGAATCTTGGCTTCTCTTCTTTCCTGTTGAAGTTTCTTCCAGCTGCTGCCTGACCTGCCGGTGCAGCGCGCGGTTCCCTGGCGCTTGGAACTGAGCACTTGGGTACGTAGCGCTGGTTCCTCTCGCTCCGTGTCTTGAAGGGGTCCATTTCTCCAGGTTGGAGGGTTCTCTGGACAGGTTAAACTTTCTGGCTGTAGCATTGACCTTGTTTTTAGTGCTTTCGTCACATGTTGCAGCACTTCTCCATTCTTCATCACTGCTCTTTGTGCCCAGGCTTGTGAATCTCTTCCTGCCCTGAGCCTCTCAGGGAGAGACTTACTGTCCCGAAGGTTTGATGTGAACTTACACCTTTGGTATAACCTGTGTAGATGCCTTCTAAGAACTCATATGTGGGGCAGAGACGCCACAGAGCAGCCGTACAAAGCGAGAGCACAGAATCAAGAGCCATTAAATGGAGCAGGTGAAACCAAAATGCACAGAGCTGTGGCACTTTTCTGCACTGACCAGGAGATTGCAGCCCCTCTGTGGGCTGTTCTGCCTGCCAGCTGTGTCTCGTTTTCATTTGATCCCAAAGCTGAGTGCCTTTCTTGAGTTCATGTTCCAAGGGTGCTCTCTGAAATATCGGCCTGAGAGGTATTGTGTTGTGATGGAGGGAGGGATGCTGTGCGGAGGAGATAAGCGGCAAGCTGTGGTGTCTCCTCTATGAGAGTAATTACACGAAACAGGGTAAAAGGCYCTCCAGGGAAACAGAGCTCATAGCAGCTCTCAAAATTGCAGGTGAGAGAGGCAGCACCTCGTATTCCCTCCCCTCTGCCAGGGAAAGCCAGGCAGCAAAGGGATAAGCCCTGGAGCTTTCCAGAWAGCCCCTTCCAGGACATCCACATGGAGCAGAGCGGAGGGATTTCTGGAGCTGGTGGTCAGGGTAAAGGTCTGTGTCTTATTGCTGCTTAAAGCTTCACCCTGAGCTGCCACGTGAAGCAGAGGACCTGTTTGCTGCTGCCGGTTTCACATGAGCAAGGAGGGGAAGCTGACGTCCCCCGGGAGGAATGACTGGGTAAGTCAGCCCAGGGTGGAGTTAGGAGGCCTGCAAGAAAGTGCTGACGATGTCGTGGTTCATTCTCCGGCCAGGGGTTAAACCAGAGGAGAAAGGTTATCCTGGGGTTCCTTGATGCTTCCATGCTCAGTCACAAAGGCAGAAATTAAGATCTAGACGTGCACCTTATCGCAGCCAAGCCAATTTCCCACAGTAAGGCCTGGTCCTCTTCCTCTTAGATTAGATATCAGTAAGTTCATGGTCCCTCTTACTTCCACTGCTTTTTTTGGAGAAAATACAGATGCAGCAGCTTTGAAACAAGGTGTAAAATGGCCTTGAAACAACTGCTAGTGTTGGAGAGCACTTTGCAGGCAAGGCAATGCTGTTCCCCACCTCCCCATCCTCTCTGGGGACAGATCACACCTGCAGACCCAAGAGGTGCCCCTGATTTCCATGCCCTGGTGCCTGGCGTAGCCAACACGCTGCTTGTACACAAGCATTGTGCTGGATCAGGCTGCCTTTTAATTGCTTCGGGTGTCCCGTTGTTACCTGATCCTGTAATAATAGTTCTGGATAGTGTCACGGGCGCCTAGGAGGTAACGGATGGGGAAATGCTMCCTGCTTGTTCCAGCTGCTCCTCAAAGATGAGGGGTGGGATAGTTTCACCCCAGTTAAGGGAGAAGACTGGTATACAGCATGACCAGCAGGCTTGGGTGTTTTTTTTTTTTTTTTTTTTTTTTTTTTTTGTTTTTTTTTTTTGCTCTACCCCACTCAAATATTTAATGGGAGAAATATTTTGCTTTTGCAAGTGAATTGCTCCTTCCCAGTAGACAAGCTATTAGTACTGGCTCTGTGCCAGTCATTGCATAAGCGAGTATTGTGCAGCCCTCTGCTGCCCCACAGGGACYGTGCAAGAAGAGGCCGTGAAAAGTGGAGGGTTTCCAGCAGCATTAATTCCAGGGACCCTGCTGAAGCCCTGGCTAGGAAACGGATTGTATCCCCAAGATATGTGTGGTTATGCTGGGAGAAATGAAACGGACAGCAGAATGATTGTTCTGCTTAGCGAACTGTTTGCACCGAGCATTTARTGAGTTTGTTTTCCCCTTCCTCCAGGGACTTAAAATCTGTTGTCTGGTCGGGGGCTTGCCCTTTTTCCAGCTTGGGATAGATGGTAGTGCAGCCACTCCAGACCAAGCCACTGCKTTTCGTGCCTAAATGTCAGCTGGGAGCGGGACAGGCTTTTTCCCCTGCTGCTGGTTGGATTCTGATAGTGCCCACTTGTGGGTTGCCTGCTATCTGCAGACTGATAAAAGCACAGGCTCCTTCTTGCAAAATTTGCAGTTTATTTATCACAAAGTTTAACTGGTTCCTGTTTTAGACGTGGGAGAGACAATTGCGATGGGCCGCTGAAGCGAGGTCCTTGGGTCTGGGCATTTGGGTGGAGATGGGCTGAGCTCTTGCAGGGAGGGGCAGGGTTAGCCCTGGCTCCAAGGGCCCTCGCAGAGGTGCTGTGAAGCTGAGAATGTGCTAACGTGCAAACCCACGTGGGGGTATTTTAAATTGCTTATCGTTTTCTTTACCGTCCTTCAAAATCTGAAGTGGACTGCGGGGTGAGTACGGTTTTTTTTCTCTTCATATGTTACCCAGCTGAGAAACAGAACTGGAACGTGGAGCGTTTTTTCCCTCAGTGCTAGCAGAAAAGGTGCCGCTTTTTGCTGTCTCACAATTAAATTAGCTGCTTTCTGTACAAGGCTCACGTGTCTCTAGAGCAGCTTCACGGCAGGGGCTGCTTTGCTAAGCTCAGCAACCAGCTGATGTTGTCCCTCTTTGAAGAATATGATATAAAATTTCACATCAGAGAYATCTGTAGAGCCAGACAGGGGTGCATCGCTCTGGCTGCAGCCTTGTCACCTCTTGCTTTTGCGTATGGATTGAGTACAGCAGTCTGGATTACTGAGGTGGGGAAAGAAGCAGTAAATGCACGTGGAGGAAACGCCGCTTCCTCCTTCTCCCTGGGTGTTTGTTAGGATGTGCCGCCGTCTTTGCCTTGTCCCTTCAGTACCAACTTTTTGCTGGTTAATGAGCGAAATTTGACACGGATGAGTAGATGAAGCTCTAGGGAACTCATTAGAAGCTTTTCATGTTTGAATTTGACTCCTAACACGTGAAGCCTAAGCCTAGCYCTAGGCTGAGGCTTGCGCTGTGGGACCCGCTGAACCCTCTGGCTAAGGACTGCGGGTTGGAGCGTTCTGGGAAACAGCTCCTGCTTTCCCTGTGCAACCCCGTCTGAGCCCTGCTCCTCGTGTGCGTCACCTGCCTCCTTCTCGGAATGTGATCCTAACCCTGCCCTTAGACTGAGACTAATGCCCAGGCTGAGGATTGCACCCCAGGCAGTTCAGCAGCAGCAGCAGCTCTGCTTTGGTGTGTTGAGCCTCACTCATACTTGGCTGTCTCTGTCTCTGATCCCCGTGATAGCTTTGGTGCTTTTACCCCGTGGCAGTGTCCCCAAGCAAGCGCAGCATGCGGCCTCTCCTGGCCGCTCTCCTCAGTGTTGCCCTGTGCGTTGCAGCTGCCAGTGCTTAAGGCAGGAAGAAAATGGGAGGACTTCACRGAGGTGACCCTTGGAAGAGCTCTGATCCTCAGCTATCCTGCTTTCCCCAGTGGAGGAACTGTGTCGTCGTGGTTGCCTGCACCAGGGTGCCCACCCCACTGCCGCAAAGTACCTTGTCTCTTTTCTCTCCTATGGTACAGCTGGGGTTTGTGGTTAGGTATTGTCATTATCTGGCTGGACTTCATTTCTAAATAGTGAGGGCAGCAGATGAGAGCAGTTTGTTACTTCCCTAGTGCTGTTACTTCCCTTCTTAGTGCTCTAAAGACAATCCTCTGCATGTTACTACTAGGGAGTGTCTCTAGTGGTCTTCTGAAGAGAGCCAGAGTTTGGAAATCAGCGAGTGCTGCAGCTTTAGGGAGAGCTCAGTGACCTAATGATACTGCTGAGGGACAGAGACAGCAGTGCAAGAACTGCCAGAACCCTCTGGCTTCCCCGGGAGACTTCCCTCTGTACAGACACAGAGCAAAGGGCTCCACGTTTGTGTAGGACCTGAGGGATAATCCAGTCCCAAGCTGAGACCCTATCAGCCTTCTCAAGCACATGCTTCAGGGCAGCCCATGCAAATGTCTCACCTGGGGCCAGGCTGCGCCCCTGAGCACTACTGCCGTGGCAGAAAAGCTGTGGAGATGCCCTCATACCAGCAGTAACTACAGCCACCATCATGTAAGCGGAGCAGGACGGTGCTCAGGGGCAGGGATGAGCGCTCAGCACCCCGGCTGCCTCTCGCCACATGGGCCACGGACTCACCAGRCGGCCCCGGGATCTTCATTGTCTCATGCCTCAGTTTTCTTCTTGGCACCGGCAGCACRGCTCTGCTCAGACCAAGAGTTTAGGCAGATCCTGGTGACGTTTGAAACGCATTTTGGTTTATGCTGGAAGGTGCTTTGGATGGAAAAGAAGAAAACGAACGCACCTCTTCCTCAGCAGGGACTGGCAACCTTCACTTATCTGTTTCCCCACCCTCCATCTCTCTTGGGGCCTCTTCCCTTCCACCTTCCCTGGGATGCGGGCACCCGGCCCTTGCTGTGTTTGCCTCACGGTGTTGTACAGTCTTCACAACACTTCTGTTCMTAAGTTAACAACATGAAGGTTATGAGGCTCAGCTCTTGTGACCAAGCATCCAGTGACCATAGTGGACCAAGACATGGTCCAGCAGTCGCAATGACCAATTGCACCATGTCTCTAATGCAGCTTTCCTCCTCAGGGGACTGGGTCTATTTGGCATTTTGGAGGCTGATCACAGGTCCTGATACCTTCAGTGTCCTCGCACTTTTGGTCCAGAGGGGATAAATCACTTGGTAACTATCACTGATTTTCCTCTGGTAGTATCTTGCAGGAATGGCAAGGAGCACAAAAGATGTATCTGTTTCCTGTGGACTTATGTGGTTTAGTATATGAGACTTTCTTAAAGACATTGAGACTCCCTTCAAAGAGAATCATCAGAGAAAGGCAAAGTTACCATCATTAACTTAGGAGAAGGAAGGTTTATGTGTTGTTTTAGAGCACTGGATTTCTTTAACTTCGTTCAGAAAGCATTCCTGCAGATAATCAAGAGGATTTGACCGATCAATGAAAGTCTGATCAGTGTGTGTGTATGAGCACTTTGCAACATGGAGMTCCCAGTGCGGTTCAGGACCTCAGCCTACCACAAACGCGTGCAGAGCTTTCATTTCCTAAGAGCAATAGGCTGCTCCCACCGATGCGGATGGCATCGCATACGCAGATGCGGTGGGAGGACCTGGTTATGTTTCTGCAGYGACGGGGCTGCCGGCTGCGTTTGTGATCGACCCAGAAACTCCGACTCCGCGGTGCTTCACCATCACCTCCAAGAGAACGGTTTATTGTGTTTACATACAGCATGGGCAATGTGGAACCACTCRAAATGTTGCATCACTGGTTTGGTTTCTGGACAATGCTGGAAATGGCGATGCAACCGCTCACATCACGTCTGTATTGGGAGGTAGGCAACAGGCCAACGAGGAGCCGATCCAAAGCCCTGCGCTTTCGTTTGGGAAGTGCCCAGCACTGGCACGTTCACCGCTTGCTCTTCTTGTTCCTCCGTTGTGGCCTTGCCCATCAGCTTGTCCTCGGGTTCACTTGGAGCGGGTCGTTTTAGTAGAAAAGCACAGTTTTTGAAACCAGTTTCCTTAAGTCACGAGTTCCCTCCCCATTCCTCCCACCCCATGCCATCCCCTCCCCCATGCTCCCACCAACACACACCTCCTTCCCCTCCCTCCCACCCCGGCCACACAGCAAATTTCCTGATACTGCAATTCCAAGCCGTGTGTCCGCCCCAGCCTATGCAATCCAATGGTCTCTGACCAAGTCCCTTTGTTCACACGTTAATACAAAACACACAATAACAATAGGAAAAAAAAAAAAAAAACTAACACAAAAGGAGGCAGACACAAGAGGGAGACACACTGCCGGGCTCGGCCTCTGGCCTCCGAGCCCTTTAACTAAGCTCCACAACAGTGAGGTTCTTGGGGTGCCTCCTTTCACGCTCAAGACTGCCGGTCCCAAAGTTTCCAAGGTTCATAGGAAAAGGAAGAAATGAAGTAATCTACAAGCCTCTTTCTGCTTAGGTTCCTCCCCCATCCCTTTCCCTCAACCCAATGGCTGTTGGAGGATGTTCTTGACTCCGTCAGGTCTTTTTCCCATCTTCCAGTGAGACCCAGCCTGGGGACCAGGTTCACTGTAAGTCACTGGTTCCTCTCCGGAACGTGGGCGATGGGGTTGACAGCGAGGGGAGGGAGCGGGAGGACGGCAGGTTTTCGTCTCACAGCAAGTTGGGGGGAGATGTCAGACCAGGCAGGAGAAAAGCGCCAAAGGAAGCCGGTGGAGGTGGCCCTCTGCTCGGTGGTGGTCCTCAAGACTCCTCCGTGGCGCGGCCTCGACGTGCCGGCCCGTTGCCCAGTCACCTCTCGCAGCCCTGCTGGGGGAAAGGACGTGGCGGGGAGCTCTGGCTTCCCTCATCCTCCTCGCGGCCGGTGGAGAGCTCCGAGTCGCAGTCGAGCGCCTCGTAGATGGTGGGCAGTGTGGTCTGCTGGCTGAGGCGCTTGCGCAGGCCCACGAGCAAGGGCTGCGGCATGGAGGAGACGTCCACGTTGTTGCCGAGGTCAACCCAGGCCAGGCAAGGGAACTTGCTCATGTCCTTCATGGCGTCGGTGAGCTCCTTCATGGTGGCCCGCGTGAGCCGGTTGCCGTTGAGGGAGAGGTGGGTGAGCTTGGGCAGCGCCCAGAGGAAGGGCAGCAGCAGCCGCACCATGTCRTCGTTGAGCTCGGTGAAGCTCAGGTCCATGGAGGTGAGGTGGTCGCCGTTGTTCTGCAGGTAGTAGGCCATGTGGTGGACATCCCGCATGGTCAGCGGGATCCCCGACAAATCCATGGAGTCTTGGCTCACCTTCTTCTGCAGGCTGGTCTTCAGGCTAACGGTGGAGAAGGGGAGAGAGGGATTGTTACGGACACGCACTTGGGGCAGGAGAGACTTCACGAGGAGCCCGGGTGGGGAAGTAAAGGCTGGACGGACTCTATTTAGGGAAAGCGGAAGGTTTGCACCAGGCCTTTGGGCAAACCCTGTCCTGGAGCTTTCCCGTGTATTCTCAGCGTTTGTACATAAACTTTGCAAGAACTGGCTAAACTGGTGGTGTGCAAGTGTCCTCCACTGGCACGCTTCAAAGGGCTGGTCTGGGTGCGTGCACGGACAGCCGTGCATGAACAGCAGGAATAACCAAAGCAAACTTGCTAAGTGCACCGGCTTGCACCATGCAGGGCTTGAGAAATAAGCATTTCATCAGGAAAAGAATTGGTAGATAGATAAGCTGCACTCCAGGGTTTCCTGCGTGTCCCCTTAAAGGCTTCCCGTAGTGCTTCTTAGCAAGCGAGCAGCACCTAGAGCCGCTCGTTTTGGTCTCCGTGGTCAGCAGATCCCTGGGATGTGCTGCAGCTGCGGGCAGGGCAGGGGGGCCGCGGCGGGCACCGAGKGGTGGGTTCAGCTGTGGCACTTGTCTGTGTTGGGAGCGCTTTGCTGGTGAGCACAGGGAGGAGGTGGTTGTAGGGCTGTGACCAGGGGTCCTGTGTGATGCTGTAGCATGAGAGACCCTGACTAGTGACACAAGTGACACTAGTCCTGCTGTTCGGGGCACACCCGGCTTTAAGGAGAYGGGCGGCTGTATCTACAAGCGTGGATGGCAGCAGAGGAGCTGCCGTGGCTGAGAACAGGCGCAGCACGGAGCAGCTGCTCCTTGAGCTCTTACGTGCTCGGCTTTAAAGATTTATAAGAGGCTGATGTGCTGCAGAGCGCGGCGGGGCCGGGGGGCAGTGCTTCCCTGCAGACTGACAGCAACAGCTCATGTGCCGGCGGTTGTTAACAGCCTGACAGGGCGCAACACCCCGCAGGGGCTGTGCAAAATCCTATGGGGGCCAAACCTGAAAGCACAGCGGTCTCGGGCAGCCCCTGGCACGGCGTTATCCCTCTGGCTGCATGCGGTGCCTGTTCCTCCAGGAGAGCCACGCATCAGGCGCKTGGCAGGGATGTATTTTCATATCGGGCAGATTAAGCAGGAAGAAATGAATATTCCGTGTAAAACTAGGTGCCTAGGGGATGCTTTCCCCTGCTTCTGTTAGGCTGTGCAGAAGRAAGCTGCTACAGGCGATGAGATAAAGGTCTCTGGTTTGTGTTGGTTTAGATTGAGACTGTGGGGTGGAGGATACAGGGTAAGTGAGGAGAGAAACAAGCCTGTAAATCTTCCAGGCTCTGTTTGGTGCAAACAACCCTCCCGGCTGTCAGAAATACCCTTCCCCAGTGCTGCTGAATGCACGGAGGGAAAAAGGGGATGCAAACAGCAGCAGCTTCCTCCCTCGGTGTCTGCAAAGCTGCCTTCTTAAAAGGGGGCCGSTCTGGCCCCCGGACCCCCCTTTTGGGTGCCTGGCCGTGCAGGTCTCCCGCTGCCCGCCCAGCCTCCCCCGCGGTGCCCGCTCTGCCCAGACTGCAGTAATAAGTCACAGCTTGTGCTCTGCCCAGAGCAGGTGCCTTCTGCTGCTCTCCCCAACAACAAGCCAATACCCCAAGGAAGCCTTAATCAGGCAGGCAAATTATCCTCCCCTAATTGATTCTCCAGACGGGGCTGCTCCTGGCTGGATGCGCGCGAGCCTTTCAGCCTCCTGGGCTGCGCCAGAGCCCTCCCTCGCTTTGCTGCCTTGTTTTTCTTGCCTGGCTGTGGTGGAAAGAGCCTCCCTAGATCGCTGGAAAGCAGTGAAATGGGGGACACCCTGGGGCTGGGGACACCCTGGGGCTGGGGACACCCTGGCACCCTTCTCCTTGCCCCCTGGCACTGGAACGGCACACTGAGTGCTTGAATGCGCCTTCCCTTCCTCTGCTCTAGCGATAAATGTATATATAATATATATCTGCTGTTAGATAAGGCACGGAGGGAGATGTGGGCAGATGCTTTCCTCTGAATTATCTGGGATTGGGTATTTTTGGCGCTCTGCTGAGCTCTGCTCCCCTCCAGGGAAAAACCCCAAGCTCAGACAACTCACGCAGCAGCTGAGAAAATGCCAGGTTTATTCGCAGGGAAATGGGTCATCTTTTATCCCCGAATTTCTTCAAGTGAAATGGGCTTCAAGATCTCTGCGGCTGAAGAAGCGTGTGACAAAACAGCCACTTAGCGACGGGGCCTTTGGTGCCCGTGGGACTGGTGGGCAGAGGGCTGCGGAGCACCAGGGGCTGCATTGGCCTCGTTGCTGCTGGTGTGTCTGGATTTATAATGACCGGGAATGGCATCTAACAAGGATCCGGACCCCGGATGCAGGGAGGTGGGTGGCATTTGTATTCTCTGCAGCGAGAGAATTTGTATTCTCTGCTTCCCGGGTGGGAAGATACCTGGYCCTGCTGAGGAGTGAGGGCTTTGTTGGGTTCACCCCCTTGATTCCCTCGCCTGGAAGTTGTTCCCTGTCATTCCCAGCTCTTCTCCCATGGACATGGGGAACCTGCCTCCCTGCTTGCTGCCCGCTCGGCCTCGTGGTCTCCAGGCTGCACCATGGACCTGCTGCGTGGTATCTGCTTGGGAACAGCATAGGGCTCGAGGGACCTTTCCATCCCAGTTTGGAAGAAAGGGCCTGAAACCACCCAACCTGCGCTGGGCACATGGAAAAGAGCAAGGAGAGCCTCTTGACTTGCAGCAGCTGCCTGTTGTTTGAAGATGGGGACTGCTCCAGGTGTCCGGCTCCTTTCTAGGTGCCTCTTTGAGTCCTTGAAGGTGAAGGCTCAGCACATTTCCATGAGCACCCAGACCCCTGCACCCCCCCTCTTTGCATTTCCTGCTTATCAGCTAAATCTYTTGCCTGCAGGGAAGGGCTTCCAGGGCTCCTGGCCATCATCTGGCACTTGGCTGCTCTCTCGGCTTTGTGGAGCTCGGAGGAGCTTGTTCAGCAGGAGGGTGTTGGGGCTCCTGGAGATCCAGCCCCTTTGCCTCGTCTCCACACCATAGAGAGGGGCTGGGAAGAGACGTGACACCTGCCAGCTGGGACCTCAGCAACCAGGGGTGCCCACTACCCCCTGTATCTCCTTCTGGAGAATTTCCAGCTTTCTGGAAACTTTGATTTCTGGAAAATTTGACTTCAAAATCTTTGCCTGTTCCCCCCTTCCAGCTGCCTTTCCAGGTGGACCCTCYTCCTGGTGCTGGATGCTCTTTGGGCCTTTCTGCCCCGGTAGCTGAGGAGACATTTTCTGCTCCTCTCCACCAGTTCCTCACCTTTCTGTGAGCAGCAGCTTCTTGAAAGCATCGTGTGGGGCAGTTCCTACACTCATCTGTGTGGCCTTAGCCGACTGCTTCCCCGAYGTGGATCCCTCTCTAAAGCCGGAATGATGGTGACTCTTCGCTGTGTTGCAGGAGGGCGACGTGAAGCTCTAGATAATCCTCCAGGGCCACGGGAAGGTTAGGATCCAATCTGCCAGAGCTGTCATCGTGGCCCTGAGTGATGTTTCGGGGCTAGGAAAGAGCTGACACCCTTTGGAGCTGTTTCCCTGCAGTCTTGGAGACATGGGAGCTTTCTCTGCATCTTTAAAGTGCATCCAAGTGCCGCAGTGTCTGGGCAGCGCACATCAATAACGGAGACACGGAGCAGGGAAGCCGAAGGGATGCTTGTTCTCCATCCAGCTTTGGATCAGCCGAGAGGTTTCAAAACGAGACTCATTTAGGCACATGAACAGAGTAAAGCCCCAGCCAGGCTTGCGAGGAGGAAARCCCAGGTTTGGGAGTTGGGGAGTTACTTAACTCTCTACACAAAGCTGCCTTTTCTCTCCCCAAACCTGTTCCTGGGTGAAAAATCAAGGATTTTTTTTTCTGCACCAGCAACACCCTGCTTGCAAAGATCACTGTTTGTTGCCTGYGTGTTTTATGGGTCTAGCTTTGCTTCTTGGCATCCAAGGAGGCCCTGGAGCAGCCAGCACTGAGGACGGTGCAAGCGGAGGATGCAGAGGGTTCTCCAGCAGAGCGTGGCCAAGGCAGCTCCGCTGTGATCCGCGGCGTCTCCATCGCGCTGCCAGGCTGGGATGCAGTGCTCGGAGCAGAGGCTGCCTTCACCTGCACGCCGGGCACGAGAACAACGCGCCCGCTCCCAGGGCAGATGGTGGCACCCGCACGAGAACGCGYCGTTCCGGGGAGCTGCTGAGCCGAGGAAGCCCCGAGACCTCTGAAAACAGCACCTAATAACATCCCCCAACTCTGCGTCTGCCACAACGCTGCCCAAGCGGCATCAATAACCCGAAAAGCTGAGGTTTGCAAGGAGAGGTGTTTCCTAAGCCATTACTCCTTCTGCCACAAGCATCAGTTTAGCAGGAAGGAGAAGCTGGAGCTGCCCAGCGCGCAGGGATGAATAATGCTCATTTAAGGGAGAATGATGTGCGGATGCTGCAAAACATTACAGTAAAAAGCACCTTAGGACACAAGGATGAGCGAGCTGCAGTAAAGCGGTGCCCATCCCTGGTGAGGAAATTCTTATCCGCCAGCTTTGGAGCTTTGCCTTTCAAACGCCCAGTAAATCCCTGGCCTTGTCCATGGTGGACAGCACAGTGTGTCCTTGCCCCTTGTCCTTGCACACGGAGCCCACGCGGCACCTCTGGCCCAGCCATGTGGGTGCTCAGGGTGGTAGAAGTGGGTGAGAGCTCTATTGGGGAGCAGCTTGGGGTTGCAAAGGCCCAAGAGGACCTGGCTGGGTGTATCAGAGAGCTCGCTTGTGCCTTAGAGCATGGAGATGCTTTGCTAAGCTTGGCCTAACTGAGTATTTGGGTTGGGCTCTGTGGTATGGCTAACATATGAGACTGTTCCTGCTTGGTGGAAGTCTGATTTCTCCTTCAGATGGCTACAAAATTCCATAATGTCCTGGGTTTCTAGGCAGGAGGGCTGTAAGAAACTACTTTGTGGTTCCTGGGTGGATCAGGGTTGGGCTTGCTGGGCTCCTGAGGGCCTTCCTGATGGAACAGGGATGGGGACATGACTGGAGTTTGTATCTGAACCACCATTTTGCTGCTCRGGGGTCTGTTCTGGGAGAAGATCCTTGTGTGTGAAGCAGCTGTGATGCTGCAGCTCCCTTCTCCTCCCTTCTCCCGCTCCATTTGGGCTGTTATGGATATTAAGACCTGGYAGATGCTCCGCGCTCTCTCTGTGACCAGTCTTGCTACTCATCCCATGGACCCGGCTGAGGTGTAAATGGTGTTTTGGATGAGAACGAGGGGCTCCAGAACCTGAAGAGCAGGAGGCAGCAAAAGYGACAGGAGGACTCGGTTCCTGACCAGTTTGTGCCAACCAATCCCTTCCGACTGCCCCTAATCCACGCGGGAAGGTAGAAGTGCAGAAGTCCTGCCCCATGCCCGCTCTTCAGCAGCTGCGAGCAGGGAGGGCTCAAACAGGAGCCCAGGCTCGGAGGTGAGAGCAAAAYGCTCCCACTAGCAGGAAGGGGAGACTTCAGATCGGGTTTAAACACTGTGACTGGGCAAAATTAAGCCCCGAGATCTCCAAGTGAAGCTGCTGTTTCTTGCCCCTCYGACCCCAGCACCGTCTTGCAGTGACCTCCGCGGCCACCTCTGTGGGTGCCTCTCGCTGCTGTTTAATATTTAATCCTAGCGATTCTGGGTCCTACACGAGGCTATGCGGTGGGGTCAGGTCCAGCGGCCGCCCTAGGTGTCCCCCCGCCACCCTGCAGCTCGGGGCCACCGCTCACGTCCCCCGAGGGTCCCCGCGCGTCGGGGCAGGTCCCCGCGCCCGCTTACCAGGCCTGGCTCTTCCTGCGGGGCAGCCCGTGCCGGGGGCGCTTGGAGTGCGGCGTGAGGTGGTAGATGAGCTGCCGGCAGATCCTGTCCGAGGACTTCCAGGGGTCGTATTCCTGAAAGCAAAGGGCCGGCTCAGCCCCCCGCCGTGGGCCGGGAAGGGAGAGGCGGTGGCGGAGCAGGGAATGCGCGTGCGCTCCTTTGCACCAGCCCGTCCCCGTGTTCCCCAGGGAGCTGCAGATGCGCGTGCTTAATATCTCCCTTTGCACAAAGGAATATCTCTCTTTGCACAAAGAAACCCGCTCTTTTGCCCTCCTACAGCAGCGTGAACCTTGCCAAGGCTGCCAGGCCACGGGATGTCACGGCCACGTGGCAAATGCATTTGTAGAGGCCAAGGGTACCGCACGCAGGGCTGGTATCACTATGGGAATTTGGTGTGCGGGATATAGCCTGGATGCAGGGATGTAGCAGGGCACAGGGAAGGTGAGCCCAGGGAATGGCTTGGTATGGATGGAGTAGTTGCTTTGTGTTCTGGAGTGTACCAGGGAACGTGGCCCCGCCATCTGATCCCCCTTCACCATGCGTTTTTTAGTTGGCATGCAGCTTGTGGGCAGGTTTGCTATTAGCATGAGACATAAATTCCTGATTTCTGATGTAGTTTTAAGAGATTTCCTGAAAAATACGCCCCGAAACAGGTATGCTGCCACCCCGAGGGCAGCGCCCAGCGCCAGCCCCGCTCGGAGCTCGCTCTGCGTCAGCAGGTCCGTGGAGCTCAGGGGAGCCTTTACCTTCTTGGGACACTGCAGATCTCTAGCGAGGCTCATCAGCAAGTCGTGTGAGATGGGATCCACCAAGTTAAGGAAGGTTGCGTTTTTGTAGAGCACTTCATTGAGGAACGTTCCTTCCAGGCCCAGGTCCTACAAGAAAACACGCAGGCATCAGATCACAGAATCACAGAATATTCAAGGTTGGAAGGGACCTCTAGAGATCATCTAGTCCAACCTTCCTGCTCAAGCGGGGACACCCAGATACACGGGCTTCTACAGAGCTACAACCAGGAGGTCTTTTAAGACCAGACCAGGTAAGAATCCCACGTGGTGCCACCTGGTTGTTCAACATAGACCCCAGGGTGAAGCAGCCGTGTCTGGTGCAGCATTGTGGTGGTGGAGGACATGGGCAGCTGGGGAGCTCTGCTAAGCTGCCCTGTAGCCATTCAGCACAGGAAGGTGAGAGCAAGAACAGGAGTTTTCCAGATAAACCTGCAGCTTTGCCAGGCTCCACGTGCAAATCTGAGGAAGGAGTGGGGCRGGAGGAGAGGCCCTTGATCCTACTCCAACCTCGGCTTTTCTGGAAGAACCAAGCCCTTCTACAGGTACTCAGAGACCTCTCTGCTGTCCTCCCTGGCCCATCCATGTGAGTCCAGCTGGGCTTTGAAGTTCTCAGGAATCTCTAAGCAATCTTGTGTCTTAATGGTAAATACCTACATAGCAATCGAGTGGAACTGCCCATCTTGGTGACTTGTCCTCCCCTCTCCTTCCACAGCATGAGCTGTGGTCAGTGCAACTTCACTGCATGGAGCAGGTACCAGGGGGTGCTGGGAGAGCCCTGCCCCCCAAAAAAGGCATCCCCAGGGACTAGATAGGGGACGATGCCAAGAGCTAAGCTATTTTTGCCAAGAGGAAAGCTGAAGTCTGATGCAAGACGTGCGGTTCTTGCAAGGAGGAGGTACCGCCGAGCTGTGAGGGGGGAAAAAAACTGCATGGAAAAATGGGATCCTGGCAGCAAAATCATTGCACGAAAATACCCTGAGGGCAGAAGTGCGGAACAAAAGAGCTCCCTAAGGGAGCGGGAGCCGAGCTGGACCTGCTGCAGTCGATGGAGGGAGGAATGGGTCCAGGGTCTGGGCTGGGTGCTGAGCAGAGGGGGCCCTGTCTGTTCGTGCTGCTCTGCTGGCTGTTGCTCCAGGACCCACGCAGAGGAGTCCCCCAGGACGCGCAGGGCTGGCCCCGGGCCAGCAGCTCCCGCCGCCAGCGCCTGCCGCCGGCTCCGGGAAGCGGAGCCTCCCACGCTGAGCGCGCGGAGCAGCCGTGAAGCTGCATCCCCCCCGCCAATCCTGCCTGCGAGGGCTTCATAAGTCACGTAGCTGTAAATATGAATGTCACGCTGGTAGCCCTGGTAGCCCAGGGGCATGTCCTGGTTCATCTTTCTGTGCCTCTCTTTTGGTCCTGTGCTYTCGTCCGCCCGTTCCCGCGTGCTGTGTGAGGGTGGTGCAGCTGGCACGGGGCAGGGGACAGCGGCTCCGGTGGCTCCGTGCTCTGGGCTGGAGCGGGACCTGAGGGAAGGCCGGTTGTGCTGCTGGCGCGGGGTGATGCAGGCACAGAGGCTGGACTGGGCGCTCCCTGGGTGCCAAGCAAGCCATGAAGTGGCTGGGCCCGTCCCCATGAGCAGCTCGCCCTGCTTTGCCCGCTCGCGTGGAGCCCGCATGCTGCAGCTCTTCCTGCACGCAGAGCCCTGAAACGCTGGCACCCTGCTTGAGCAGCTCKGCTTCTGCCCTGGCTTACTGGCATCCTGCAGGCTCTGCAGCAGCCAYGCTGCTCCCGCTGGTGCCCGCCGGTCCCGCTGCCTCTGTGGTGGCTGCGCCCGGCCCCGCGCCCCGTGATGAGGGATGGTGCAAACGGGTCCTCGCTGACCCCTCGCACCAACGGGGCATCTCTCTCGCTACAGGCAGCAGCGGAGCCCGCGCGAGTCGGGGACACCGTGACTTTGGAGAGCCCCGGGGCCCAGGTAAGGCCGCCCGCGACCCTGCAGAGCCCCAGCCTCACCCTGGCACCCCCAGAGCCCATCATAACCTTGGTTATGTGACCCAGCCGGGTCCGGGGCTGGGTGCTTGAACCCAGGCTGTGCCCGGCGCCCGCAGGGGCAGGCGGCTGCCCCACTGATGCCGACGGGAGCTGGCACAGGGAGCAGGGGTGAGGAGGGACCCTGGCTCCACGTGGCCCCGTGACTCAGCACGGCAGCCGGCAGCTCCAGCACGGACTGTCTGGAGAGTGCGAGGGCTGCGAGGGCGTCCGGGCCTTCGGCCTCGAGAAGAGATGCTGCGCGCGATCGCAAATGACATTTCGTAGTTCTGGCCTCTGGCAACTCCTAGAAAAGTCTGTTCTTGTCACATCACGGCAAACGTGAAGCGAGTGGCTGCCTCTTTCTCCCCTTGCTTCTGGTACTCGCGCCTCTCCAAAGCGTCTTGGAGACGCTGTTGAGCCCGGGTGCCACCCCATGCGTCCCGGTAGCTGCAGAGGATGTTCCCATTCGTCAGGGTGCCAGGACGGGTGTCTGTGGCGTTCCTGGGGGGATGCTCCGAGGCAGCGGGCAGGAGAAGTAGAGGGAAGTGGCCGCTTAGCCAGCACGAGGTGCCACCCCAGTGGGGTTCCAACCCGAGCGGGGCAGGGACCCGCCGATGGTGGCAGGGACGGTGGCAGCCGCGTGTCCCCGCAGGGATGGGGCCGCCGCTCCATGCGGGACTCGTGTTGGCGTGGGCCCCTCTCCCACGCACGGCAGTGGGCAGCAGCCACCCCCTCGGAACCCCCAGGACCCCCGGGCCCCCCGCGCGGCCGGAGCGCGGCCCGGCGCCCCGCGTACCTTGCGCAGCAGGCGGAGGATGTGCACGGCGCGCTCGCGCTGCTGCTCGCGGAGCGTGGCCTGGATCTCCCGCAGCCAGCCCACCCTGCGCACGTAGGGCGCCGGCGGGCTCCTCCGCAGCACCCCGGGCAGCTTCTGCGGGTGCAGCAGCAGCGACGAGAGCTGGAAGTCGCCGCGGCCGCCGCGCTCCTCGGCGCCGCCGTCCTCCTCCAGGCTGCTCTGCCGGCTCAGCCGCGAGCCCATGGCCCCGCTCCCGGTACCGGTACCGGCACCCGCTCCGCTGCCGGGATCCCGCAGCCGCCCAGGCGCCTCCTCCCGCGGGGGGATCCCTGGCGGCGGCGGCGGCCCCGGGATGGGCTCGCGGCTGCCGGGAAAACAAAGGAGGCTCCGAGCCCCCTCCCCGTCCCTCCCCCCGGCTCCGCGGGGGGGTCTGTCCCGGCGCCGAGCGCTGCAGGCGGCCGCCGGGCTTGGCTGGGGCCGGCCGGGCTTAGCTGGGCTCGCCGGGCTTGGCTGGGCTCGGCGTTTCGGTGGTTCTCCCCGAGCAGGGCGGTTCGGCCGGAGCCGCCTGCGCGGGAGAGGCGGATTCCGCCCCGCGCTGCGAGGTTCCCCTCGCCCGCCCCCCTGCCCGCCCGCCCGCCCCCGGCTGCTCGCCGAGTTGGGCACAGGCTGCTGCCCGGGCAGGGTGGCCGCCAGCCCGGGAGAGGGTGATACCCCACATCTGCCCCCCGGAGATTTCAGCAGCGTAACCCCGCTTCGCAGTGTAGCCGCTTCCACTCCCCGGAGCTCTGGGCTCGCCCTTGCCCTGCAGCTAATTTTCCTGCTCGGTGTCCCCAGAGCCTCGTGCATGTGGGGCCCTGCACCCAGCTGCCTCCTCCCCATGCTCTGCCRGAGACCCTGGCTCGACTTGAACAGACGGAGGTGACACAGGGCYGGGCGCAGGAGCATCAGCTTCCCATGGGCCTCCATCTGGTCGCATCCTGAGGGTCCTGCTCATGGTTTCATTCAGGCTTTAAGGAGCCCCAAGCCTTGACGGTGACCCCTTTGTTCCCCCTCGGTGCTCCAGCTCCTACGGGAGCGGAGCRAGTGTGGCCGGATCCCCAGTCTATTGGTCTCGCCTGTTATCCCAGAGATCCAGGAGGAACCAGGGCTGTCCTGCTCTGGTCAAGCTGGGCGCAAGGGATGTTTGCCCGGTGCTCGGGGAAGGTTATGTGATTTCTGATGCAAATGGACTCCGTTAATTCCACATTAGAGGAGGCAGAGAGGCCAAGGTGGCGGCAGACGCTGCCTCCAGAGCCTCGCACGGCTTTTGTTTTGCCTGCAGAGCAGCTTGTCGGGGCTCCCGAGTCRCTGCTTCTCGTGGGGTGGCTCGGAGCTGGCAGATGCCAGGAAGCGAGCAGCAGCGTGGGGGATACCCGGCCCCCTTGCACTCTATTTGCACCCATGGGACCCTGCGGTGCTCCGGGTCTGAGGGTGCAGCCATGGGCTTAGACACGACCGAGCTCTGCGGGGACGTTGCGGAGCCTGCTCTGCTCTCGGTCRCCGCGCTCCGGCGGCGCCCTGGCGCTCACGGCGCGTTGGGCGAGTGTGGCAAGGCTGCCCGGCGTCCCCGGTGGCGCCYGGCATTCCCTTGATCCTGGGCGCAGGAGGCATCGGAGCTTTTGCTGCCTGAACGATGAACTGATTCACTGGGAGATGGAGCGGCCGCACCTGCTTCACCTGGGTTTTCCCTTATTAAATTAAGCCGTGGGAGTCCTGGGACTTGTGTGGAGGCCGTGTCTCCTTGCTCACCGTGGCTTTTGTAAAGCTGGAGGGCAGGAAAAGGCCCTTGGGCCTCTCCAGGAACTGCCACCCCTGGAAATGAGCTAAGGCAGGAGGGGGAAAGCTCTGCAGGACCTAAAACACCCCTGGGATCCCCATTTTAATGTCTCTCATATAAAAAATATAACAAATTTGTAAAGGGCTTTTAAGAAGATCTCCTGAATTTAAGGCTACAGGCTGCAGTTACGGTTTCATAAGGGAATTAGTCGCTCTCAGCCCGCGCAGGGGAGGCCAAAGGCAGTGCCTGGTGCTGCTAAGCTGCTTTTGGAGCTCGCGAGTCCTCCGCACGCGGCTCAGGGAGCCCCTGGGCTTCGCGAGCCTTCCCCTCCACGGGAGAGCTCTTGTCCTTTTCCAAACTCACCTGCGGAGCGCGGGAGCCAGGGAAGGTCACCAACGGTCTTGATTCCCTTCCAACTTCACCCGTTATCCCCCCTCGACCTTCAGGGTTGAGAAGATCTCCTAGGTGGAACGCACCAAGTCCTCAAACTGCAGCACGGTGAGTGGGGCRCGCAGTGCACAGCCCTCTCTGCAGGGTTTCCTCCTCCTCCTGGGAAGCTTTCCCAGCCAGGCTGTTCCCGGGAGCTTGGGATCGCACTGGTGACCTGGGATGGGCAATCGGAGGCATGTCCCTTGGAACCTGCAGGGACGTCCCCGGAGTGACCTGAGGACGCTCTCCGTTTAAGCAAGCGGAGAGGAAGCCCCCGGGCTCCGTGTGTGCATCCAAGGCAGCTTCCAGCTCCAATGCCCCGTGTGGTCCCAGACATGAAGTGAAGCATGGGGGTTTTCCTCAAGGCTCTTGTTCTCCTGTGGATAGCCAGAGAAAAGGAGCACAACGTAAGGATTTTTGTGAGTGCAGAGCAGCAGACTGGAGCGCAGAGGAAGCACCAGAGAGGGGGTCCCACGTGCTGCTCGATTTGGGGCAAAACAGCTTCATTGCCTCCAACTTCCCCAGGGCTCGGAGGGACCGGTGCAGACAGGTACTGATGGTGCCACAGGAGGGAAGAGCCATGGGTCTTCAGCTGCTTTCCTGTAAGTACAAAAAAGCAGCCTCAATTTTGCAGCATTTRTTTTTTCCTCCTCTTTTGTGTCTTATTTGCTCACGCAAAGAGCCCAGTGACCTTCTTTGGGGTGCTGGTGTCCCGGGCAGCATAAGGAGGCTCCTCCATGGGGCAGGGCTCGRGGCCACGGGGTGCCAGGGCCCTTCTAGGCTCGGATTGGGTCGCAATGGCACCCAAGGCAAAGCAGGTTCCCAACGCGGCAGCAGCGGAGGCCGGAGTGCAGCCTTCACCTCTGGAACAGCTCCGGGCCTCCCTGTGCTGACCATGGCAGTTCTGCGCGGCCCGGCCTCGCCTGCCTCCAAGCCTCGGTCCACTCCGATCACTCGTAAGGAATTTCACCCACCCCGTGAAGGAATGGAGGAAGACGAGGCTGGGAGGCCGCCTGGACGCGCGTCCTGCCGCCGCGGTGGCAGGAAGGAAAGGGCAAACCCCAGCGGGGAGCGAGCGGGCGCCGGCGGAGCAGCCCCCGGCACGGGGCAAGGCTGAGGCTCCCGGCCCGGGAAGCGGGAGCCGGCAGCCCCTCAGGTACGGAGCCCCTGTGCCATGGGGAGCCGCGGGGCGCTACGGAGCGCCCAAGGACCTGGCTGCAGGTGGGTCCACGGGGCCGGGATGGGCACAGGGGCTGAGGAGGGCAGAGCTGGAGGCTGCTGCCCGCGGAGGCACCGACATCGCCTGCGTGGAGGCACCGRCATGGCCCATGCAGGGTCCCCTCCAGCCAACCCACCCCGGCAGGTGGCTTTTGATCCCAGATCTCCCTGGGCAGGTGGCTTTCAATCCCGGATCTCCATGGGTGGGTGATTTTCAGTCCCAGATCCTCATGGGTGGGTGGTTTTCGATCCCGGATCCCCACGGGTGGGTAACTTTCAATCGCAGTTCCCCATGGGTGGGTGACTTTCAATCCCAGATCCCCATGGGCGGGTGACTTTCGATCCCGGATCCCCATGGGCGGGTGATTTTCAATCCCGGATCTCCATGGGTGGGTTATTTTCAATCCTGGATCCCCATGGGCAGGTGACTTTCGATCCCGGATCCCCATGGGCAGGTGATTTTCAATCCTGGATCCCCATGGGCGGGTGACTTTCGATCCCGGATCCCCATGGGCGGGTGATTTTCAATCCTGGATCCCCATGGGCGGGTGATTTTCAATCCCGGATCCCCATGGGCGGGTGACTTTCAATCTCAGCCCTGCTCCCCTTGGCTTTCTGCAACCGTGCAGCCCGCACAGCAGAGCACTATTTTTTTCAGCATCACGTATAGGTTATTGGGCATAATGGTCACGTTGCAGCATTTCGGAGCCCAGCTCCTTGTTATTTTTCCATGAACTTTTGTAGCTGTTGATCTGCCAGCTCGGAGTCTCAACCCTGCCCCGGCCTCTTTCTGCTTTTCAGAGCGGCGCTTTTCCACGCCGCAGACCCAGTTCCATTTATAAGCAGTAAATAAGAGGGACTGAATTAGGAGCTCACAATATCTTGCTTCTTTTTTGTTGCCTCTTTTTTTTTTTTCCCCTTGCAATCCTGCAGGAGAGAGTTAGTGGTGAAAAGAGCTGCAGATTCAGACCCGTCGGCATGCACTGACCGGTATAAATGGTTGTTTTGTGGGTGTTTTGTGTAAAATCTCTTGTTTTGGGGGTGCTGGAAGGGTCTCCACAAGCTCCTGGGAAGGTTCCTGGTGCCTCTGCCCTCTTGGGGTGCTGCCCTTGGTGGTTTCTTGGAGGGTCCTGCCAGGGCTGCAGGGCAGCCTGTCCCTGGCACCGCGGGGCCGCCTGTCCCGAGCTCGCTGCTGCGCTCAGTTTTGGTAATTCGCTCTTCCTTGCAACTTGTTATTGGATTAGAAAAGGATTATCTGATGTTTGCTCTCCAGACCAGCTTAAGGGCTGCTTAAAAATGTGGAAAAAAAAAGGGCCAAATGAGCGTGACTGTGCAGAGGAGCCGGGTTCTCCCTGCCTCCCGTTCGCTCCTCGCGGGTTTCCGCTCCCCGGCGCAGCCCCGAAACGTCCCTCTTCCTATTGCACTGTTTCCTCCTGGGTGCCTCATCGCTGGGTGGCCTGAAGGCGCCGACCGGCTTGAGTCACGGTGACGCGGCGGGTCCGACAAGCTGTGAGTAACGCAGGGGACATCACTTGCAATCCGCAGCCCGCGCTGTGCACGCACAACCTGCAGCACCCGAAGCTGGAGCGTGGGGAGACCCGGGACCAMGTGCAGGGTGCCCCCCGGGACCTCCTCCTGAAGGAGCATCCTAGAGAATAGCACGTGGAAACAGCAGGATTCGGCTCAATTGTGGTTTATTCCCTCTGCTTTGATGGCCATAAATCCCTCTGGGGGATGGCAGCAGCAGGGAAATGAGTTTGTTCTGTGGGCTGGGGTGGAA